TAGTGAGGAGATAGTGTAGTGTAGGGGTAGTGGGTAGTGGTATGTGGTAGTGGTAGTGTAGTCGTATAGTCGGTATATAGTATGTAGCAGTGGCAGTAGGAGTAGCAGTTAGCAGTAATATTAGTAGTCAGCAGTAGCAGTAGCAGTCGTAGCAGCAGTAGTAGTATAGTACGTAGTAGTACGGCAGTAGTATAGTGTAGTAGGAGTAGGTAGTTAGAGTAGTAATAAGCTAGTTGCTGCTGCTGTCTGCTCCTGCTCCTGCTCCTGCTGCTGCTGCTGCTGCTGCTGCTGCTGCTACTACTACTACTACTACTACTACTACTACTACTACTACTACTACTACTGCTGCTGCTGCTGCTGCTGCTTCTGCTGCTACTAATACTACTAATACTACAAAAACAATGATAATAATTAAACATTGTGTCCCTAATTGGGACACGGTTGACGAAGAAGACGCCGGTGGCGAAAGTTGAGAAGATCAAAACAAACAGTAATTAGAGCTATCTTGCCGTTAATTAATTACTGCCGTCTGCCTGCCAAAATATATTACCGACAGAGAGCGGCACTACCATAGTAATTAATACATAGAGACACTAGAACGCTGAATAAAATTGACATCAACGAGCGATACTAGCACCCCTACCGAGTTATTTGTTAAGTACATGGCAATAGGCGAATCAGTTGTATAGTCTTTAACTAGTATGTTATTTCTATGGCTATTGCCATCGTTAAGAGATTCAATTTATAGGATTTAGATTAGTGACTGGGAACGGGGAGCTGACTCCGAATTATCAGGTCCCTGCTCACCCGCACTCTCATTTATTCCACTTACATGTAATACACGTGTGAAGTAATTTATCATTCGTGAGTTGACCTTTGTTTGTGAAATGTTTGTAATATATAAGGTGACATTTGTCTTTGTGTGTTTGGAAAAATGTTTTAAATTTACAAGATAACCGTTGTCTTCGTTTTGTTGTTGTTGGGGGGGGGGTAAAGCGTAAGATAACCTGTGTCTTCGTTTGGGGGGAGCTTAAAATATAAGTGCAAGATAACGAGTACATTTTTTTATCGTGTGACAGTATTAAGCTCACCCCGTCTTTATTTCTTTTCTATCGTGCCGCAATATTAAGGCTTTATCTTTCTTTCTCTCTCTCTGGCCGGTAGGAGCGTGGCGAGGAGGACGTATCGCACCTGCAATGGGAGACGCTGAAGCTACGCAGCGTCAAGTGCGCGACGCTGGAGAGAATCGTCGAGAGCCTCACGACGGAGTCCGGTGACGTAGACTCCTCCTTCATCAGCGTCTTCTTCGCTACCTATCGGTCGTTCTCGACACCAAGACACATCCTCAATCTGATCATAGACAGGTGCGTATTAGCACACTAGTTAAGTGTTAACGCACGCGTGCATGCAGTTTCTCGGTGAAGAAAAAAGCGACATGGTTAGCGTGATTTTTCTTATATTTTGCGTATCTCTCCAAGTACGTTTTATTTATTCCTGTGCAGGTACCGTCACCTGGACAAAGATCTAGACATCAGGCAGGACCTCCGAGAGAAAATACAAAAGTGAGTCGTTGATTAGCTGTTGATGATGTTCTCTCCCGTGCTTTTCCACGTCCCACCTTCTTACCTTCTCTTGTTGTCTCTTCGTCTGTTGTCTGTCTGTCTGTCTGCGCGCTTTTTCTCTCTCTCTCTCTCTCTTTCTCTCTCTCTCTCTCTCTCTCCCTTTCGCTCTCTCTCTCTCTCTCTTTTTGTGCGCTGTGCCGTGTCGGTTTGTGCGTGT